AGATGAAACGGTATTCACCAATTCGTGGTAGCTGAGGTAGATCCCAGGGCTCGATCCCTAGTTTCCCAACTTACCTGTGTACAATACCAGCGTCAACTCGAAGAGTTGAACCTGCGACCTGTAGAACCGCCAGTGGTAGGTAGGTCTGTCGTAGGTCTATAGGTAGCCAGGATTCGATCCGTAGACCTATAGACTAGAAGGCTAGCTGCAGTCCTTCTAGAAGGTAGGCAAGTGGTCAAGTGGTGCAGGCAAGTGGTCAAGTGGTGCAGGCAAGTGGTCAAGTGGTGCAGGCAAGTGGGCAAGTGGTGCAGGCAAGTGGTGTGACTAAAGCAAGCCCATGTTGGAGAGAGTCTAGAAAGTACCAGTCCGGTCCAGCAAGTACCACGGGGGGGAACTGTGTGCACCATGGGCCAGGGACACAAGGCAGACCAATGCAGCACAGAAGTATAAATCAAGAGGCTGCGTCCATTCATTCATTCATTCCTGCGGATGCCATGCGGAAGCGCTGCCTAGCAGCTTGCGAGGAGGTCTGCAGAGTGCCCGAAGACAAAGTGGGCAGAGGAGTAGAGTGCAGCGATAGGTAGTGGCAGCTAGCGCTGCCATAGCTGTAGCCTAGCATGTGTGTGTGTGAAGTGTGATACTGAGTGTTGCGTGTGGGACATCCAGGGTGATCCAGAGTGCGAACAGTGAGTTGTGTGGGCGCTCAGTTGCCATAGCCAGTTTGAAGAGAACTCTTATGTGGATACGATATCTTGAGTACTGAGTGGGCGCCTGTCGCCAATTTGCTGTTTCGCTGTTTGCATACATGACAAGTTGAATAATCGTAGTGTGATTTCACAGAAACCAATTATTTACAAATTGCAACATGTCATCGGAAGCGCGGAGTGTTCTTCTTCTTCTTCTTCCTCCCTCATCACCAAGCTCAAGCTATGGCTATGGCGCATACAGCGCCCAGCCTATCAAAGCCAGCCAACACTACACCACCCTCCCGCGTCCGACAAAGCAATCTGCAGCGACCTCGAATCCCAGCTGCAGATGACGAGTCCACGCTCAGGAGGGGAGTGCAGCTCCCCGGATGACGCAGAAGAACCACCGACACGATGGAAGACGGATCACTGCCGCTCTCGCTCGAAGAAGATCGCATCATGGAAGAGCTGCTTCAAAGGAGGCTGCAAGCTGAAGCGACCACCGCTCGAACCTGCGATTCATTGTGAATCGGACCGGACAGTCGTAGCAAATTTGTCAATTCGAGACCTGTAAGCCCAGCGGCCCGGCTATGGCTGTCGGCGAGCGCTGATGAAGAAGCGTTTTTGGAATCAGCGCTGCAGACTGAACGCAAACCCTCCCAGCACTTTCTGAAAAGAAAACTGGAAAAAGAAACCCGCTCCCCTCAACGCTGATGAAGAAGCGACCTGCGCTATGCAAATCATCAGCGCTGCAGACTGAAGTCACTGAGCGCAAACCCTACCGTGACTTCGTTAAAAGAAACCTGCAAACAGAACCCGTTCCCCTTCTGCCTCGACGGTTTTGTAGGATCGAACACTACTTCGATAGACAGACGCCACAGCCTACCAGGACTGCTAGGACAGACGAAACAGCCGGACTGAATCTAGAGTGCGAACTTGAAAAAAAAAAGAGAAAATAAATTAAATAATAGCCAAGGGCCTACCATCTACAGCAGCAAACACAAGTCCCTCCAAGGGACAGGTCGGGGGATCAAGAAGGCTTGGGGACCTCAAAACTCAGTTGAAGTTCGAGAGCAGTTCCCCCCGTTAGACACATAGGTGCACAGGGATCCAACCCCGGAGGGGGCAATCTACCGAAAAGGTTAAAAAAAGTTACAAAATGATAAAAATCTAGCTACTTAGTTTACAGCTAGGCTACCAGAGTTGCCCGGGACCACTTGCCCAGCCGGGCCAAAAAAAAAAAAAAAAAAAAAATAATATAAAAAAAAAAAAAAAAAAAGATTCTAAAGATATCGATGTGACCCTCCTGAGGCAAAATTCGTTCAGTTTATTTTTCTGCATAACATAGTTGTTTTTTTTTTTGTTTTTTTTTTGGCTGGGACCTTTGCCCTGGTTCTTGCACGGCCGGGCCGCCTGGGAAAACAGGGTGACCCGGGCGGCCCGGCTGGTAGCCTAGGTTTACAGCCCGCTTGAACCTGCGATGCATTTGCGAATCAGACCAGACAGAGTCATAGCGCTGAAGTACATCCTTCCCCTGAATCCAACACAAGCCGGGGTTGTTATCTCTGTATTTCGTGCAACTGTCAGGCCAGATACAGATAAGTGAGCATCTGTTGGTCTCTCTGTCTCTGGCTACAGCTACGGTGGCTGGGTGGGTGATCCGCTCGAAGGAATAAGGTGTGGCTTTCTCCCATTGCAAGTTTTTTCTTTTTCATTTTCTTTTTCTTTTTGGGTATCTTGCTCACAAATTTTGTGAGATAGACTGCTAAAAAAAAAAATGTCGCAAAAAAAAAATCGATAATCTTGAAAACAGTAAAAACAAATCGTTGATTATTGATTTTTTTTTTTTGGCCAATTTTTCAGCCTGGATTCACTGCTAGGTGGTGAATCCCGGCTGAAAAATTGTCCAAAAAATAAATCGAGTTTTGCTGGCCTCCGAATCCCAGGGTTGTTGTTTTATTATTTCTATTTTTATTGTTGTTATTATTCTTTATTTTTTTTTAAATTTAATGTGATGATATATCGTCACAGCGAACTGCTAGGTGAATCCAGGCAGAGAGGAAGAAGAGGACAACAAAACGAGCCCGTACTGTTTTGTTGAAGTGTATATGATGATGTGCAGGGTCACCAGCCCGTACGTATGGAGGCCCCCGGGGCGACCTCCGTACGTACGGGCGTTCGGGGTCCCGTTCGGGGTCCGAACCCGACGGCGTACGGCCCCCGCCAAAAAATATTTCGGGGCCGAAAAATAAGTTTTTTCTTTCTGAATTGTTTTCTGTGAGTTCTCTATGATGTAAGGTACATGCCTGTAAATTTTGAAGTCATTTCGCGCAGATATTGAGATTGTATTGATTGAGAGTTGCAGAACACATGCCGCAAGACTCCAGCTGAGAGAGTTTGTCAAAGCACAAGCATACAGAAATACAAATCAACCGCAAAACTCAAGTACACTTCCGCATTACAGCGCCAGGTACTAATTGTGTCCCCGGCGGGTATGGCACCCCAACCGGTTTCGACCGCCGCCAAACAAAAGTTAAAAATCGCCAATGATGGCGGTGTCGAAAACATGCTTGCTCACTCACTAATTTTAATTCTCTTTTCATTTTTTCCTGTTTTTTTATTATTAGTTTTAATTTCTGTATTTCATTTTTATTTCAAATTTGGCAAGTGATTTGGATGTAATGATCAGGCAAATGTTGTTTATTTTAGTTTTCTTCATAACTTTTTTTTTTTTCAGATTTTTTTGAATTGTTTTTGTTTTGTTTTGTTTTAGTCCGTGTTCGGACCGAACGGGCGAATGCATCCCCAAGAGGTCCCGTACGTTCGGCCGTTCGGGTTCAGGCGTTTGGCCGGTCCCGAACGTTGGTTACCCTGATGATGTTATATTGACGATATGTATGTATATATGTGACGATATATATCTATTTGACGATATATATATATATGCAGACTGTTGAGGGTTCAGCCTCCTGATGAGTCGGTGAAACTCCGACGAAACAGTTTGTCACAGCCGCTCGTTTGTTGTCCTCTTCTCCCTCTCTGCCAAGGTTTACCGTAGGCAGTTCTATTTGTGACGATATATATATATATTATCGGAGTTTATATGTGCATAATTTTATTTATTTTTGGTTATTATTGTATTATATTGTGCATATATATATATTATCGGAGTTTATATGTGCATAATTTTATTTATTTTTGGTTATTATTGTATTATATAGTGCATATATATATATTATCGGAGTTTAGATGTGCATAATTTTATTTATTTTTGGTTATTATTGTATTATATTGTGCATAAATAAGAAATATTTTTTGTTAACACCGACTTGATAAAATAAAATAAAATAAATAAATAACTTAAGAAACAAATGGCACTGCCTGTCTTTAACCGTTTCCACATCTGACATGTGGCCTCTGATGTGTCACTTATGCTTTTTTCGCCTTGAATTTATATTAATTTATAATAATTATTTAATTTAATTAATTTCAGATCAGGGATTACGAATTTAACCCAGAAGATGGATACATTCCGAAGATCATCTTCGACGCCCTGGGGAGTCCTTTTATTCCTTCATTCCTGGTACGTTCTGCATTTTTTTTGTTGTCCTCCCCTCCTCCCCCCCCCCCCCCCTCCCCCTTCCTTCCTTCCTTCCTTCCTTCCTTCTCCTCCCCTTGTCCTACTCCTCCCCGTCCTTTGCTCTCACACTCCTTCTCTCCCTCCTTCGTTGTTTCCTTCCTTCCTTCCTTCCTTCCTTCCTTCTCCTTCCCTCGTCCTACTCCTCCCCGTCCTTTGCTCTCACACTCCTTCTCTCCCTCCTTCGTTGTTTCCTTGCTTCCTTCCCTCCTTCGCTTCTTCCTTCACCTCACCTTCTTCTACTCCTCCCCGTCCTTCGCTCACCTACTCCTTCCCTTCGTTCCTTTCTACTTACGTTCCTTCCTTCCTTCCTTCCTTCCTTCCTTCCTTCTCCTCCCCTTTCCTTCGCCTCCCTCTACCCTACTCCTCCGTCCTTTGCTCTCCCACTCCTTCCCTTGTTCTCCTTCCTTCCTTCCTTCCTTCCTTCCTTCCTTCCTTCCTTCCTTCCTCCCTTCCTTCCTTCCAAACGTTGTGATCTATAGAATCAAAACAGTTAGTGTTATGTTGCCTTCGATGGCCCACGTTTGGTGTTTTTTTTTTTCTTTTTTTTTTTTAATTCCTACGTGGGTGGAACGTCTACCTTCTAGGCTTCCTTCCTTCCTTCCTTCCTTGTAGGGGCTGCGGCGGAGCCTCTACCTTTCTTCCTTCCCCTCATCTTCTCCTTTGCCTCACCTTGCCTTCGTTGTCCTCACCTTCTGCTGCTCCTTCCCATCTTTCTCCTTCTCCTCGCCTTCGCCTCAGTGGACCTGTCCTTGTATGTTTCTCTATGAATCATGATGATGTCTTTGTCGTGTCGACTGTTTTCTCAATCTGTTCTTCAGTCGCCTTCTCCTTCCTTTCGTCTCCTTCTGCTCCTCTCTTTTTTTCCTTCTCTCTTCCTCCTTCCTTCATCCCTGGCTTCTGCCGTCCACCCCCCCCGCTCCTCGCTTCCCTTCCTCTTTTCTCTGACGATTCATTTTGGCATTCTCATCTCCTCCTCCGTGCCCCCGTCCTCCTCCTACTCCTGGCCGTCTCCTCTCTTCTTCCACTCCTGCATTGTCCTCCTCCTCCTCACCACCTCCTCCTCCTCCCGTTCCTCCTCCTCCTCCTCCTTGCTTGCTCCTTTCTCATCTCTTCTTCCACTCCTTGTCTTGCCAAACCACCATGCCTTCTCCTCCTCCTCTCCTCCTCCTCCTCCTCCTCATCTTCCAACCTTTGGTCTTCTCCTCCGCTTCCTTCTCCTCCTTGCTTGCTCCTTTCTCATCTCTTCTTCCACTCCTTGTCTTGCCAAACCACCATGCCTTCTCCTCCTCCTCTCCTCCTCCTCCTCCTCCTCATCTTCCAACCTTTGGTCTTCTCCTCCGCTTCCTTCTCCTCCTTGCTTGCTCCTTTCTCATCTCTTCTTCCACTCCTTGTCTTGCCAAACCACCATGCCTTCTCCTCCTCCTCTCCTCCTCCTCCTCCTCCTCATCTTCCAACCTTTGGTCTTCTCCTCCGCTTCCTTCTCCTCCTTGCTTGCTCCTTTCTCATCTCTTCTTCCACTCCTTGTCTTGCCAAACCACCATGCCTTCTCCTCCTCCTCTCCTCCTCCTCCTCCTCCTCATCTTCCAACCTTTGGTCTTCTCCTCCGCTTCCTTCTCCTCCTTGCTTGCTCCTTTCTCATCTCTTCTTCCACTCCTTGTCTTGCCAAACCACCATGCCTTCTCCTCCTCCTCTCCTCCTCCTCCTCCTCCTCATCTTCCAACCTTTGGTCTTCTCCTCCGCTTCCTTCTCCTCCTTGCTTGCTCCTTTCTCATCTCTTCTTCCACTCCTTGTCTTGCCAAACCACCATGCCTTCTCCTCCTCCTCTCCTCCTCCTCCTCCTCCTCATCTTCCAACCTTTGGTCTTCTCCTCCGCTTCCTTCTCCTCCTTGCTTGCTCCTTTCTCATCTCTTCTTCCACTCCTTGTCTTGCCAAACCACCATGCCTTCTCCTCCTCCTCTCCTCCTCCTCCTCCTCCTCATCTTCCAACCTTTGGTCTTCTCCTCCGCTTCCTTCTCCTCCTTGCTTGCTCCTTTCTCATCTCTTCTTCCACTCCTTGTCTTGCCAAACCACCATGCCTTCTCCTCCTCCTCTCCTCCTCCTCCTCCTCCTCATCTTCCAACCTTTGGTCTTCTCCTCCGCTTCCTTCTCCTCCTTGCTTGCTCCTTTCTCATCTCTTCTTCCACTCCTTGTCTTGCCAAACCACCATGCCTTCTCCTCCTCCTCTCCTCCTCCTCCTCCTCCTCATCTTCCAACCTTTGGTCTTCTCCTCCGCTTCCTTCTCCTCCTTGCTTGCTCCTTTCTCATCTCTTCTTCCACTCCTTGTCTTGCCAAACCACCATGCCTTCTCCTCCTCCTCTCCTCCTCCTCCTCCTCCTCATCTTCCAACCTTTGGTCTTCTCCTCCGCTTCCTTCTCCTCCTTGCTTGCTCCTTTCTCATCTCTTCTTCCACTCCTTGTCTTGCCAAACCACCATGCCTTCTCCTCCTCCTCTCCTCCTCCTCCTCCTCCTCATCTTCCAACCTTTGGTCTTCTCCTCCGCTTCCTTCTCCTCCTTGCTTGCTCCTTTCTCATCTCTTCTTCCACTCCTTGTCTTGCCAAACCACCATGCCTTCTCCTCCTCCTCTCCTCCTCCTCCTCCTCCTCATCTTCCAACCTTTGGTCTTCTCCTCCGCTTCCTTCTCCTCCTTGCTTGCTCCTTTCTCATCTCTTCTTCCACTCCTTGTCTTGCCAAACCACCATGCCTTCTCCTCCTCCTCTCCTCCTCCTCCTCCTCCTCATCTTCCAACCTTTGGTCTTCTCCTCCGCTTCCTTCTCCTCCTTGCTTGCTCCTTTCTCATCTCTTCTTCCACTCCTTGTCTTGCCAAACCACCATGCCTTCTCCTCCTCCTCTCCTCCTCCTCCTCCTCCTCATCTTCCAACCTTTGGTCTTCTCCTCCGCTTCCTTCTCCTCCTTGCTTGCTCCTTTCTCATCTCTTCTTCCACTCCTTGTCTTGCCAAACCACCATGCCTTCTCCTCCTCCTCTCCTCCTCCTCCTCCTCCTCATCTTCCAACCTTTGGTCTTCTCCTCCGCTTCCTTCTCCTCCTTGCTTGCTCCTTTCTCATCTCTTCTTCCACTCCTTGTCTTGCCAAACCACCATGCCTTCTCCTCCTCCTCTCCTCCTCCTCCTCCTCCTCATCTTCCAACCTTTGGTCTTCTCCTCCGCTTCCTTCTCCTCCTTGCTTGCTCCTTTCTCATCTCTTCTTCCACTCCTTGTCTTGCCAAACCACCATGCCTTCTCCTCCTCCTCTCCTCCTCCTCCTCCTCCTCATCTTCCAACCTTTGGTCTTCTCCTCCGCTTCCTTCTCCTCCTTGCTTGCTCCTTTCTCATCTCTTCTTCCACTCCTTGTCTTGCCAAACCACCATGCCTTCTCCTCCTCCTCTCCTCCTCCTCCTCCTCCTCATCTTCCAACCTTTGGTCTTCTCCTCCGCTTCCTTCTCCTCCTTGCTTGCTCCTTTCTCATCTCTTCTTCCACTCCTTGTCTTGCCAAACCACCATGCCTTCTCCTCCTCCTCTCCTCCTCCTCCTCCTCCTCATCTTCCAACCTTTGGTCTTCTCCTCCGCTTCCTTCTCCTCCTTGCTTGCTCCTTTCTCGTCTTTTTTTCTTCCACTCCAGAATGCCGTCATGCCGTCATGCTGTCACGCCGTCATTTCCTCCTCCTCCGCCAACCACACACCACGTCCATTTTTTGTATTGCTCTTGCGTATGCGTTTGTTTTTGTACTTCACGTATATTTTTAACGCAGTGACCTTCTCTCAGCCCCCTAACTGCTCATTCAATATCCAAAAGACGAAGAAGTAGAAGAAGAAGAAGAAGAATTTTCTGTCCTATGGGACTGGGATTGCCACATTCATGAGATCCGCGCCAAGTTTTTTTTTTTTTTTTTTTTTTTTTTTTTTTTCTGGTCATGCCTTAAGCCACTTAAGTGGAATAACTCTAGGAAGATTTTCATGAGTGGCCGGTCACCCGGGCGTGACACCCGGGGGGGTGTGACGCCCGAAATACCCAGGCATG